GAAAATTTCAATTTCCCATTTGATTAACATGGGAAAAATTTTTTTTCGAACTTTGGAATTTATTAACTCTTTAACAAGTCATCGGACTAGTTGAGTCAGAACATGTTTTTGCAGAGAATTGAACGCTCTACAAAAAAAGTCTCTTATAATTTTTTGATATATTTACTTTTTCAAAAGTTATTTAACGCTAAAGATGGATTGATTTAAAATTTTTACATTTTTCCAATTTTCCGACGCAACCATCAACTTTATGAGAAAATTTAATAGAACTTTTTTTGTAGAATACTCAATTTTCTATAATTTATTTTTTTAAAAATTTTGATATTTTTTACAGATCGTAAGTTATTTGCAAAAAACTAAATTTTTTTTGAAAAAGTTGTCATTTTAATGCTTAAAATTAATTGTCATATTAAATAAATTTCACATATCGCATACAAATGATACAAAATAATATTTAAAACCAACAAATTTCGATCTATTTTTTTTATTCAGTTACTATTAACAACAAAATTACATCAAAACTTGTGCCTTTAGGCCCAGAAGTTAAATTGATTTTCAATTGTTTGTAATAAATGGATTTTATTTATAATAAATTTTAACGTACCATAATATGATATCATAATATCATATTATGTATACATTTATAAAGTGACGACAAACAGTTTATAAAATATTTATGTTTAAAAAGACACATAGGTACATACGTAGTTACCTATACATATGTATACATGTATACATGTATTACATATACATATGTATATATATATATATTACATATAGGTAACTTGTATATAACTTTTTCAAAAATAATTTTTTTTTCAATAAATTTTCAGAACTTGTTGTGAAAGCAAAACGAATCAAAATATCCTAAAAAACAAAAAATTACAAGCTTGGTTTTAAAGTGGCCCATTTGAGGAATTTATTTATTTATTTTATTGTAATACAAAAACTTTAAAAAAATATACCCACTTATTAATTTTTAGGATTGAAAAAAAGTGTAAATTTAAAAAAGCATTTCAAAGGGATAAACCCTTGTGAAAACAATATTTTATGGAACATGGCCAAAAGCCAAGCAAACAGTTCGTCGCAATTAATAATTTTTAAATAAATTTTGCATTTTTTTAAATTAGGCTTATTTAGATAAACTCAATTGTTTTAATGAGGTGGCCTTAATGTTAATAAAACTTTTTTTATCTTCTTAATTAAATTTGATGACTTTTAATTTTGCGTTGCATTTGTTAACTCTAGTTCATTCTAAGTTAAAGTAGACATAAGATAAAAAATAAATTTTAAATGTTGCGTGCCATTTTCAAGGTAGGTAGGGAAGGTACGAGGCAATAATGCCTATAAATACTATAAACCATTTTTGACTCCATGTTTTTGGGAACTTTGTTTCATATTTTGCGCTGTAGAATAACCCCTGGGATGGAATTCAGAAACACCCAATTGTTTTTAATGACGTTCCATTAATATTAAAGAAACATTTTTAATCTTTCTAAAATTAATGACTTAATTTTGCGTTGCATTTGTTAACTGTAACATTTTTTTCCAAGGTAAAGAACATGTACTTTAGGTGCACCTAAGATAAAAAATAAAATGTAAATTTTGCTTTGGTAGGTACGAGGCATTAATAAATAAATGGTTATAAACAATTTTTGACCCCATGTTTTTGGGAACTGTTTCATACTTTGCTCTGTAGAATTACCCCTGGAATGGAATTCGGAGACACTCTGTATAGTTGTAAAATATTAAAATAATAAAAATAAAATTTGGATTTTTTAAACAATAACAACTCAAAAACTACTTGTCAGACAATGTTTTTGTAATTTTTACTCAAACTAACCTCCTCATTTTGTGGTATTGCGTACCTAACACACAATTTGTGTTAGCGCTTTTTCAGAAATTACCCTGTATATTGTTTAAATTCTTGTCTAACAAAAAATGTATTTCTTAGTTTAGGATTATGCGATAATTATTCTTTAAATAGGGAGCGTTAACCTCTTATAAAGGCATAAGTGGATTTTCAAATTAAAAACGACGTTAAATATGATTTGGTTATAATAAGAGATTAGGGCTTTTTAATATTCTTTTAAGATTTGATAGAAACTTAATTAGTTGACATAGAAAGCTTTTCTCCTACAAAACTGCCTTTATCAAATTAATTAGTATCAATTTACTCCATCAGCTTTATTAATTTAAATTCAATTATGTAGTTTTTAATATTAAAATTAAAAACTTTACATTAAGTAGCAGTGAGATTTAACCGGGTTATTTATATTTATGTTTTTATAACCATTTCATTTTTTGCTAATATAATATGAACAAAAAAATTCTAAGAAACTTTATGTATGTTTTATCACATTATAGTAAGTTTAATTTCTGTACTGAACGGTGCCGATTGGAAACAATTTTTATTTATCAATATGGTATGCTTTCAGCTGGTGTCCGTCAGGTATAGGGTTTCTGTCCCGATAATTCTCGAGAAATTCTATAATTTTTAGAGGTCTCGAAGAGGCTTTGGCGTTGTTTTTTGATTAAAATTTAACTAAAGCAAACTATAAAAAATTACTTCAGCTTGCCTTGGGACACAATTCTAAATTATTTCCAGCCTACGAATGCATTCTAGAAGCAAAACAAAATATTATCCAGAGATGGTAGAAGTCAGTGAAACAAAGGCGAAGGTCAAAATTCAACCTCTTAAGAATCCTGGAATCATGTAAAAACATTCAGGAAAAGATTTCAACAAATTTGGAGCTCATAGGAAAATGGGGTTGTGATGGAGCTTCTGGGCAATCCCAATACAAGCAAAAATTTTCCAATGCCAATACATCTGATGCCAGTATTTTTATGTGGTTATTTGTGCCCATACAGTTAAATGAAGGAAATATAATTTGGGAAAATGAATACCCTTCTTCAACAAGCTATTGCCGATCCATATTATTTGAATATGCTAAAGAGGCACCAGTGTACCGTAAACTACATAAAACTTCATTATATACAATTTGGAAAACTGAAAATGCTGAATATGAAGTAAACCACACTTTATTTTCTACAATGGTGGATGGTAAAGTAGTTCAAGTGTTGACAGGAACACCTTCAGCAGCTTCTTGTATTCTTCGTGGATCAAATCCAACCGAAATAAATAGGTTGGATAGGGTTAGAGATAAAAATATAGATCCACAAGCTTTAGAATATGGCCTTTCAAGTCTTCACGCGTGGATTAGGTTTATGGAATGTGTATTACATACATATATTTTAACCATATTGCTTATAACCTTCCATTTAAAATATGGTCAGTTAGAACTGATGAAAATAAGGCCCTAAGAAAATCAGAAAAATTAAGAATTCAGGAAGAATTTTGGGGAAAAAAGGGAATAAGAATAGATGTACCCAAACAAGGAGCAGGGACTGCCAATTATGGTAATACAGACAACATCAAATATAACAAAAGTAGATCTAAATATAATTAAAAGGTTCGGGGATATTTTGCAAGCTTTGGCATCTGGAAGAGAAATAGATGAAGAAAAATTTTAAAAATACGCACAAGAAACAGCCGAGCTCTATGTGTCTCTATATAGTTGGTACTATATGCCATCTTCAGTGCATAAAATGTTAATTCATGCAAGAACATTTAGATAATCTTTTATTAAGTATGCCTCGTAGATGTAGAGCCGTTTTAGAAGCAAAAGGCGGACATACAAGATTAATAAAAAAGAATATGTTTCCTATTTGGTATCATTTTAAATTTTTGCCACTATACTTTAGTTTTTATAATTAGCCATTTTTATTTGCCAATCGGCCAATTAACGGAGGAGGCTCAGAAGGCTAGGAACAAGGACTTTAAATATTCTAGAGAACATCAAACTCGAAAAATATCAAGAACTACAACAAATGAAGAATTGCTTCATAGACTTCTTACAACCTCCGTCCTCCGATCCATCCTAAATACTATCGAGCATGCTTGGTCGATGTTGAAAAGGCCCCTTAAAATTCATCTACATGTAGTTGTATACAACTTTAAATAAATTGAAGGAAGTTTTACCGCATCTGTGGAGCAATTTACCCCAAGAAAATTCAGATAATCTTGTATTAAGTATGCCTCGTAGATGTAGAGCCGTTTTAGAAGCAAAAGGCGGACATACAAGATTAATAAAAAAGAATATGTTTCCTATTTGGTATCATTTTAAACTTTTGCTACTATACTTTATTTAATTTACAATGCAAATACAATTTACAATGCAAATTTAATTATTCTTATTGACAATTGATTGATTTATTAGATTTACAGCCAAAATTGCTTAAGTTATTTATATTATAATTATAATCTATTAAAACTTTTTATATTCTTTAATTTTTTTTTGGTTTTAACAAACTGTCTTTTCCATGAGATATTTTAAACTTTCCCAGTTTGGTTTTATGCAAGCAAAACACTGTTGTATATGTCTTTTTATTATTTTTAACTTTATAATAAAATATATTCTTGTTTAAGTTAATTTTGTAAAATAAGTTGAAAAGTTAAAATTTACTTTTTTATGCCTCGGCAAATACTTGTCAGTCAAATTGAAAGGGGTTTGAAAGTAGTAGATTTAGAGTAGAACGACACAAGTGCTACTTAAAAAGATGTGGCTTAAAAGTTTTAAGGCAAGTGAGAAGTTCATTAATAGCACAAAATATTTTTAAGTAAATTACATTATTTTATAATTTTTAGTTTGACAAAGCATTTTTATTTTATAATCTTTTAGTACTTAGCTAGTACAACAATGCGGCAACAAGATTTTTTCCAACAAAAGCGCGTCCGCAAGAATACTAACGACTTGAGGCAAACATGCGCGTTTACTTAAAGATCTACATACTGATTAAGTGCCCATCAGAAACGCTAATACTTTATCAAGTTTAAGCTGTGTGTGTGTGTGTGTGTGTGTATGTTGATTTCCGATCCAGCATCTTTGTTGGAACAACAGTCGGTTCTTAGCGCTGAAACGGGTAGCGTCGAATTTGCCGTCAATTACGTTCGTACCACGAGGAAGCGGACTTTTAAGCGCGACTTTACGAATGTCTTGAAGTGCTTTGTGCGGAGACATTTTTAGTTGATAGTGTGAGATTTAACTTGTAAGTATTTTTGTTTGCTGGGTTCTCTTTTCTATAAAACGTATGGGTAAGCCTTTTTCAATTTTTATTTGATTTAGAAAAAGTACTTATGAAGGATTAAAAATATAATATATTTTTTTAATAAACGACTACAAATCTTAATTTTATTCCAAAGGTTTATGACCCGCTATTTAAATTATCACGTTTGGTTTGTTATATTTTTAATCATTTTCAGTTAAAGTCAAAGGTCTCTTTTTCGCTACTATTATTTTGTAATTTTGTATTTTTTACTCATAATTTTTACTATTAAAACTAGTACCACGGTGCTACCACTAAATGTAAGTGTTTTATTATTTATCACAAATTATTAGTATACCTAATTTTATTTTAAATTTAAATAATACAAGTCATTGGCGTTAGGTTGGGGAACAAATGTTAAACTTAATTTAGGTGTTTGTTTTGTTTAAAAATTTGTCTATGGAAAGTATTATTTAAGGGAGAGTATAGACTATAGTCAGTGGGGTTCCCCATGGAAAGGAATTTTATGGGTGAGTTTCTTTCCCTTAGGGTCATTTTTATAATGGCCAAAAAAGCCATTTGCCCAGGGTATCAAATTTAAAGTGGCGGTATTTTTTAGAAGTTTCTTTTCCGTTTCGAGATCTTTACCTTCTGAACATTTCTTGTAAACCCTGTTTTAAGACCTGATGTATAATAATATAGGGTGATTTATTTAGACCTTTTTTTTAATTCTAAATAAAAAGCATAAAATGGAATTGGATGGTGGAATTTTTATTATGACCTGAAAGAATAATCTTTGACATTTATTTTTTGATATTAATTTCATTAAACACAGCGCGAGAAACAATAGCTTTATTGAGAAATCATTTTGGTGAGCAGAAAATTTCGCGTTTTGGACCTGTCAATTGGCCGCCTAGATCGTGTGATATCACACCCTTGGACTTTTTTCTGGGGTCATGTTAAATCAAAACTCTTAGTTAATAAGCCAGCTACGATTCAGGACAGAAGCCAACATTACTCGCGTAATTGGGCAGATACCGGTCGCAATGCTAGAGTGATCGAAAATTGGACCTTCCCAATAGACCACGTACGGCGTAGTCGAGCATTTAAATGAAATTATTTTCAAAAAATAAATGTCAAAGATTGTTCTTTCAGGTCATAATAAAGATTTTGCCACCCAATTCCATATTATGCGTTTAATTTAGAATTAAAAAAAAAGGTCTAAATAAATCACCCGTTAGGTATTAGAGATTACTCACTAAAAACAGGTTTTCTTTAAAAATTACTGAAAATCTCGGTATCGTGTGTCAAGACAAGGAATGAAGTTTATACAGTGGTGATAGGACTCACGAATGCAGGATTTTAAGTTACGAATGAATTTAAGAACTTTATATTAAAATAAGCTGGTTATAATAATAAATTGGTTATGTTTGTATTTTTATTTATGAATATACTTTATTCGTATATCTTGACACAACTGTCACTCTGTCTCCAAGGTCATCATAAATCTTGCCTTTTAGAAGAAACGTAGACAACAATGTATGAAAAACACATATGCGTAGATTAAAAAATGCAAAAAAATTGCATACACCGATAAAAAAGTCAGTTTGCTTTAACTACAAAATGTGGTTAAATAGGCGCCAACTGAGACATCAAGTAAAACATACCACTACAAAAAAGTATACTTCTGTTGTTATGCGAAATCACTGTGTAGTGGTTATTTTTATAATTTTAATAAATGGCTTAATTGACCACTACAGTATTAGTTAAATTTAGTTTTATGGTATTGGTTTTAAAAACCAGTGCTGCTGTTAAATGTCACCTTTTTTTTGGTGGAAGTTAGTAGATTAACTGTTCTACGTACTTTAATTTGCAATTAATATGGTCTATTTGTAGGTGTTTATTTAAAAGATTAAGGAGTTAAATTTAAACAAAAAATAGTCCTTAAAAATGATTTATTTGTTAAAATTTAATTTAATTCACATTAAAATACTAACAAACATTTTGTGGCAGCTGGAGGATTTTGGGTATATCAATATCTCATTTATTAAACAAAAAAATTTTGGGCCCCACCAAATTTATAAAACTTTTTAATGACATTAAATAAAAAAGTTCTTTGCAAGCACAATTTAAATTGAAGTTTGCAAAAAAAGTTAGTTTTTTACCCAGAACTCCCAGCCCCCTAATCAGGATAATTTAAATTAAAGTGGTGTTATTTATAATTTATAACAGTTTATCGACACATTTACAGTAAGTACCTACAGATGTATTACAGATTTTATACCTTTTTTTAATTTTTTTAGTAATGAAATAATAAAAATTTGAAATGGTGTAAAATCTGTAATACCTACTTGGATTAAACAATTTTTTAAATTTGTTGATGAGCTGTAGTAAATTATAAATTACACCAATTTAATTTGATTTAAATTAATAAGGGAGAGCACGGGGCTTCTGTCTAAAAACCTAACTTTTTTCGCAAATTTTAAGTCAAATTCTTCTTTCAAAGAACTTTGTTATTTAATGTCATTAAAAACTCTTATAAATTTGGTGTGGGTCCCAAAATCCACTAGCCGCCACAAAATGCTTAAAAAAATACAAGTTTTTTTATAAAAAATTAAAAACATTACAAAACAAAAATAACTTAGCATACATGCATGCTAACAAAATCCTTTTTTTTAGAAAAATTACAGCTTATGTATAAATGGATTTTATGTCTATGCAAAAACTGTCATTGGTTGTAAAAACTTTGTAAGCACAATAGTGCTTATTAAAACCTATATTTCTTGCAAATGAATATAATTGCATCATCGGATAGCACAATATTTTCCAATTTTTCCATAAAGCTATAAAAATCAAACAGTGCATTAATATAATAACCTCTAACTAGATTAATTTATACCTTAAGGAATTCTACATATTTACTCACCTACAAATACAGGAATTAACTCCTGTAAATCCAATTTTCCAGTAAGTTTTCCATTAGATAAACACGTCCACTTTGCTTTGCTTTAACTGAGACTATGGATGTAATATCTAGATTCAAGAGGGTTCTAACCCACAAAAAAACTGTTCTTACCGATTAATAACCAATTAATTTTTTAAAACAACGAATGTTGTGGTAAAATCTTGGAACGTACTACTTGTAGTGGTAAAAACAGCTTATTTATTAAGTATTTTTTCTGAGTTGCACTAGTAACCACCATGTTAAAACAAAAGATGACACATTGTAATGTTAAATTTTACTAAAGAATGTTACTTTTTTGTAGTAGTTTTAAATGCCTACCTTAGTACCTTTTCTTACCATTGTTTTCGCTATTTTTACTTTACAACCACAAAAAGTAAAATAATTGAGAATTATTTTTATCGGTGTATTTTAACCCCATTGCTGTTTATTTGAGTTTAATTACTTACTCTCGAATTTGTATGCGATTTAGGTAACTACCAATAATACAACTAAAAATATTTTTTTAAAGTCATTTCGTTTATTTTTAGTAATTAAAATTTAAAATTAAATTTAAATAACGTTTTTTGCATATTATACTTTAAAATAAGAACTGAATCAGTTGAGCTGATGTTGACATAGTTGATGTAGTTACTGACAGTTCGTGTAAAATCAACATTTAAAATCATCATAACTTGGTAGTTTTTATTAAAAAACTTTTTTTAAACTGCATAAGATAATTATTTTTTTATGATTTTACATACGAAAAGAAATATTTATTATAATAATAAAAGTGATGGCAATTTATGTCATTAGGCCAAAAAGTTAGTCATAAATCACAAAAACACATTTTGTGGCCTAATAAAATACAAAATTTAAAGGTTCAATTATAAAAATTATTATTAAAAATAGAAAGTGAGGTTAGATAGATTGGACAAAAGTAGTTTTTTTGGTCCAAAGTAGTATATTGAATTTTAACGGCCTAGACCATATATAATCCTCTAAATCATTTTTAAGTGCCATAATCAATCAATTTAGTTTCAATAATAGTATATTATGTAATACATAATATGTATAATATGTATCAAGTTTTATAAACGCCATTTTAGTTACGAGTTTAATTAAGCACGAGCGAAGCTTGCGAGCGAGTTTTTAATAAAAACGAGTGTCTAGAGAAGTTTATAAAGTCGCGAGTTGCATACTATACTTTATCTACAACGAACACAAAACCCGAATTTAACCTCACTTTTCCCAATTTATAATAAAGCTAACTTCAGCCCGTGACGTAGTCCGTCAATAAAACGCCATAAAGTTACAGCTCGTCAATGTAGGAGTAGATAAAGTATTTTTTCATTACATAATATATCATATAATATATTTAGTGTCACCTATAGCCTTAGAGCTGGACACCCTGTATAATATATTAATACATCGGTCCGGTAAAGTTTAAAATGGTCTTTGCAATATAAAAACGAAAATATCCTAATATTATGAATAATATATGTATACTTATTATGTATAAAATTAAAAAAATCTTATTAAATAATGCAGACGTAAATATTTAATTAACCATAAAAGTAACTAATAAAAATGAAAAAATAACCACACAAGTATAGCATCGCAATTACACCCCTAATCTTTAGGTTCAAAGCATAATTTGAAACTTTTTCTGTTATAATTAATGGAAATTTTCTTGTAATTATTAAATTGTTAACCTTTTTGGAAGAAAATTCAACTTTAAAACTTTATATTACCTTAATAATCTTATTATAATATTTTACCATAAGTTAATTTTAAATATTTACTTTCTGGAAAAAAGTAATGTAAAAATATACCTAATGGGACTAACACAAACCAAAATTTACATTGTTTAAAAAGCTAGTTTTACAAACTAGGGAATTTTTCTGTTGGGCAAATTGTTTAGATCTTAAATTATTTTCTTGTAGAAAATATATTTTAAAGTGCCCATTTCTCAGTAACCTGGCATGTCTCACGAACAAAATCTAGTCAAAAAGTTCATTTTTATATTTACATTAAGGCCAGTAATAATTATTAATTTTCC